TGAAAACCTCTGCGCATCGGTGTCTCGTCAGTGGCTAACTGTCGAGACCCTTAGGAAAGCTAACTAAATAACTCTCTTCCCATATGCTATGACCTATACAAGCATTCGTAGACATCAGCTGTCTTCCGGCTAAGTTCTATCTTTCTTGATTGCGAACTTAGGGGGTCTACGACGCTCCCGCGGAGAGCTGTGTCGGCGGCGGGACCCATAGGCGCTACCCATGGTCCCTTACCCCCGGCACACCACTCACCATGATAAGTGTCATGCTATTAGAGTCCTCAAACAACCCACAAAGAGCCTATGGCAAAGGGGCACGTGTAGGCATGATTGGCGTAAAACCTTCCCAGATGTCTCCGGCACTACCCGGGACTACTCTGGGGACCCTTCCGGATAGTTCACGCTAACTCCGTCAGTTTTGGTCTGTTTTACTCCGTTCCTTTTGGAGAAGGTACCTGACCTTCTCACCTTGGCCCCCTTATATATCCTGCGAACAGCTTCCGGTCGGACGGACGGCGACGACGCATACAGTGTTATGGACATGTCATCATAGATTCCATTTAACTAGCATAACGCCAACTCCACCCATTTTGGCCCATGACGCCCGGGGCGAACCCTGGGGTCGCAGGTACCTGTTAGGAATAATTCTACCAAGTTACAGCTTGTTCGCAGCACTATAGCTCCTCCCGTAGTCTTCCGATCAAAGTGCAATCAAGTGCCCGTCGATCGTCATTGCGTAACAAACAATCCTAACATTTCCCGAAATTCTTCCGAGAACATTTCCGACGGAAGGTAGGGTAATAGTGTCCCAAAGGTAGGGTAAGTATGTCCATGGTGACACGAAACCGGTCTCCATGGTAGGGTAACGTGACCTCCTTAGGCAGGGTAAACTCACCCGGCCTTCTAACCTATCCATAGGCTAGAACGGGCATTGTCACGTTATAACTACTACTTAGGTACACCTATTCCTTAAGTACCTTCTGTTCTTAGAGATTTCCGGACCATCAGATATCTCGTAGATATGCGCCTGCATATCCGCCTCGTCTACCATCTAACCTCTTGGTCTTTTGTATGGGCCTAGATGTAGGTTACCATAGCTGTATTTCGTAGGGTCGTTACAACTGCAGTCGAAGATCTCCTTGCTAGTAGCGTAAAATTGTGAGTAGACAAAGCCATGCGCCCGTGCAGGATGTCGCTTTCCCGGCTCCATGGTTAAATTGGCTAACTCCTGTGTAAGACATTATGTATAGTAGCAACTGCAGTAACGGTCCCCCGGGTAAAGGTCTCGAAAGGAGGCCTCCAGACATTGCAAGCAGCACTGGCGCCAAAAAAAACATAAAATAACTCTTCTCAAGTCCAGAGGGTGCACCCATTATGTCGTGCCTATCTTGTTGTGTTGCCTCCTTATCATGGACTAATTCGCTACCAATGTCGATCCAAAGTTTCTCTTTTGTAAGAAAACTCCTATCACATGAGCGATTCCAAGATGTCATGAAATGAGCAATAAGTTCCTCAAGGTCACTTCCACTACATCCTAATTTTAGATTCTTGGCATTGATAAATATTTGTGGTTGTCCATAGTTATGCAGCCCTGGTGTTAATACAAGCTGTAATATCGTATCCCATATGGAAGCAAGGTAGCGAGATGGGATAGTATAGAAAAATGGTTTCCGCCCCTCACTGCCGGAGTTTGGAATTCCTTGCATGCCAGTAACACCAACACTACTTGCAAGGTGTGCTTGTTCAAAACTACCCGGAAGATGCTGCAGAAGTGATGCTGGACAGGAGGAATATATTGCCGGCAGCATAATGTTGTCCATGAACCTCTCAAGCTCATAACCAGTAAGGATGTTTGATTTACCTGTTGGGTCAATTAAGTTCGGAAATAGGAGATATAGGGTATAGTCATTCTGGCCATACAAGTGCCCTAAGTGGAAATGAGGAACCTTACGGATTGCGATTGTTTGTGGGAGTCGAGGTCCTGGCCCATTACTCCGGCGTCCTAGGAAGGGAACATCGATATGCAAGTCGGAGTCAATGTTGCGATACTGGCCGGGAGTGAAGCATACACTTATACCATTTCTGGCCACAGCAAGACTGGAGGGAAATGCGAGAATACTATCAATATCAAAAGCACTGGTTGGTCTAACCACAGATTTATGATAAGACATTCCGGTTGTGAAACTCAAGGCCGCATACTCGAGGTTGCCGGCATTGTGGTAAACTCCCGCATAGGCTGTATTGGCAATGGAGGGGGATATGTCGTAAGACTCATCCTGCAAAAACTGCTTCTCAGCCAGAACCATTGGTAAAGTATCGATTGCCACTTTAAGTGAGTGGCTATACCCTGGCTTCATAGTTGTATAACCAGCTGATGCAGAACCCCCTTCATCCGACATGTCGTCTACTGGCTCAGTATGGGCTGGCTCCTTTCCCGGTAAGGCATGAGAGCAGCGGGGCAAATTCCAGTGGAGCAGGGATACTAGATATTCCACAAGAATGTTGTATGGGCAAATTCCATTGGAGCAGGGATACTAGATATTCCACAAGAATGTTGTATGAGCCTGTTGCAGTATTTTCTCCCGCATCATTGATCATTGTATTGGCTGAGCATTCTGATTGAACCAATATCGCAGATGATAGAATGTTATCACTGTCATGGCTCCGGGTGACCGAGTCTACCACATAGTCACTCCGCTGGTTGCTATCACGGATGTCATGCTCGGTCCCAGGTGTGGGTACTGGTGATTCTGGCTCACATGGTTGCGATGATCCTGAATGTTCGGAATTGCTGGAGGAAAGAGCGGAGGCATTACTGGGTGAGTAACAACTCGCGCTATCAGTCTCAGCTGGCAACTCTAGTGAAAAGAAACTACTGGAATCATCGACTACAATAGTGTAGTTGCCGCAGACCTCCGGGCCCGTGGGGGGTTCCACTTGTTGTATTCCTGATGCAACTATATCCTCCAAGCTATCACGGTCTAAAGGAAATGTTAGGTAAGTGATTCGGATCACACGGTAGTATGTGAGAGGTATGTAGATCAAATTCTGATAGAAGAAATGAAGGAGCAAACATGCCACTAGTGACAGGGATGCTCGCCCTGGCTGTACTCTCTTCACCTATGCTTATCGAAACATTCTCTCCTGGATCATTCCGCGTAGCAATATCCTGAATGGTTGTATTAGTAGCTCATCCTACATTGATGGTGGGAACTCGTACCTGAAAATATCTTCCTAAAATATTTCTTGACTCGGGGTGTCGGCTGTTGAATACATGTAATTGTGCCGTAGTCAAGGGACTCTCGACCATTGAAATTGCACCTGTATGGGGCATCGGGAGCAGGGTTTCCAGTACTCCTACGGGGATACTCGCCGGTACCTCTACTTGTACTAGATGTAAGCTACAGATCCACTTAGGATACAGGTTACTTGTCTCATCAAACCCACCAAAAGGCGTACCTATATGAGCTTCATGCCCAGGAGGATCTCTGATGGTGAGATATGATTCTCCGATAATTGGTAGTTCTCCACGGCTATTTTCTCTGCTCAACTGAAATGTTGGGTGATCTGTTCCTGATTAGTATTTCCGGCTAGGAGATATAGGACAGGGTGGATCTGTAGTATGGGAAGCGATTACCTGGCATAGGGGTATCTAGACCCCCCAACCCGGGTTCTCGAGTATGTTGGGCAATCGATTGATCCGCGAGGTCAAGATTAATCTGCTTCCGAGGCTATTTAGTCCAAGAACAGAGAATGTGAAGTATAACACAGAAGTTCACAAATGAGAGGGAATAGTTATACAGCTTGACTTAAACGATGGGCGAGAGTTCGTTTCTTATTATAACGCTTTTGTGACTCCTGCTTTGCCTCACTCCGTGTCTTGTCGGATATATATGTCACGGGACGACCTCGCCGTGGCATTTTGCGCGGTGTATCAGAACCTCAAGAAATTGGTAGATAATAAGGAAGAGTAATGGTAGTATATGGTTATAGGACAGGGAAATATGACAAATTCTGGATCGGTCAAAGGGTCAAACAGAGTTTATCAGAATTGTTTTAGGTTTATGAATACCAGCTGGGCATTCTTATAGAACCCGAGAACACTAGAATTGTTTGTGGTAATTTAGGTGGACCGGGGGTCTTGACAGCAAAGGTTCACTTACATACAGCTATATTGCGCTTGGTAGACATGCAGTATTTGCGCTTACGGTTCAATAGAGTGCCAGTGATAGTATAATCAATTGCCACCACCAGTCATACAATATCGGTGATTAGATGCAGGTTTAATAGTGTTTGTTACAGGGAGGGGCAGGGCGGGTTTCGTACATGGGGGCCCCACCATTACACGGGCCCGGAGGAGACATTTCAAAGCTAGTACCTCCTGCCCCTGTCCGGGGCCCGACCCCACTTGTTTCCTGGACGGGGCCCCGTTTCCCGCCTATTAAAGTAGACGGGAGCCAGTCAGGGGCATGGGCGGGCCGGGGCCCAGAGTGGGTGACGGAGTGGGCAAAGCCTGAAAAAACACCCCACCCTGGGCCGGTGAGTAGGCTCGGGTGGAGAACAGGGCCGGGGGCCTGGCTTTTTCAGGGCCCCGACGCCGGATAACAAACACTAAGGTTTGGTTCTATTCCAACCAGAAGAATTATACTCAACTACCACAAAGATACGGGAAGCTGTCAGTTGATAACATGCACAACCAGAACCATGGCCTGGCCACCTGATAGGGTATGTTTAAATCTAATATACCCAGCTCACTCAACCCTAGTTCCCAATACTGTTACACAGTCAGTATTGTTTTCCTTGCCCAATAATTACACATAAAACATTTAATCAAGCTCTTTATTATATCTAGGGTTCGTTACAGGGCCTCCGGGCCGCTGAGAAAGCCAGGCCCCCAGCCCCGTTTCCCACCCCGGCCCGCTCACCGGCCCGGGGTGGGATGTTTTTTTCGGGCTTTCCCCACTCCGTCACCCGCCCAGGGCCGCGTCCTGCCCACGCCCCTGCTGGCCCCCCATCTACTTTAGCAGGCAGGTAACGGAGCCCCGTCCACGGAAAGAGTGGGGTCGGGCCGGGGAGAGGCAGGAGGCGGGGACTACCTTTGAAATGTCCCCCCCGGGCCCGTGTAATGGCGGGGCCCCCGTGTGCAAAACCCACCCCGCCCTCCCCCGTAACAAATACTAATTATGTCCTACTAACCCACTGGGTCAAGACTATTGCATGGCTTACCAGATGCCTCCCGGGGCAGGAGTGATTCCAACAAGGCTTCAGAAGCGTTGGACTCAGGGTATGCCTATTTCACATTACCTACCCTGGAATGCCCTAGAATTATGGCTGTCATAGCTGTCAACATTGCAGCACTAAGTGTGCTTTTGAACCCTATTTGTAATGGCATTGGGGAACTGACTTTACAGATACTGGGACAATCGTTCTGCATGGGAGGCATTGAAGTACTTCAAATAAATATATGAGTCAGGAACTACCAAAGTTGGTAGTAAGGATAGATTGGTATGCATGTTGGTAGACTCCTAAGAGATGATATAACTGCAGCTCTCTGGAATGGACAAGCTACAGGAGTAGGTTCTTATCACAAGGGTTATTAAAAATGAGGAAGAAAGAGGAAATACTAGTACAAGATATATAATAGTAATTGTAGGAGAATATGGGTTCAAGTACATCAGCTAAGATTTACTCTAGCATTCTGTGTATCCTGCATGTCAGATGCATAAGATGTGTAGAATACAAACTGTTAACCAGGATATCAGCATAATCTATTATTTTATCCAGACACTGCCATCTACACTCTCCTGCATTGTTATACATACCAGACATGCAACACGCCAACCCCCTTATGTTGTAACCTCTTACTAACATAGTTCCACAAGGTGGAACTATCAATAACCTTTCTCCCCTAGCATCCCATTACCCATGCAACTTGTAACGGTCAAGGTCTGAGGGTCGGGTAGCCCAAGGCACACCACAACTGGGACAGGCGAGAGTTCGGAGGCGAGGTCTCGGGACAGGTATACAACCGAAGCGAGTTGTACGATATTCAGGAGGTCAGGGGTTCAGGGTCAGGGTTCAGGGGTTCCAGAGGATGCGAAGTAAGAGAGAATGTAATTCCTAGGTATAGGTGTCCAAATTATATCTAAGTTTACTTATCCTAGTCACGCCAAAACATGGCTTATGATCTGGCTAACATCCCTTATAACCCATAAATCATAACAAAATCACTACCACGGCAGTCCGTCTCGCGACCCTCCCCCCAAACATAAATCCCAAATTCATTACGAACAGGGTCACGGGCGCTCATGCCGCAAGCGACATCCCGGATTAACGCGTCTTCCTGTCTCGCAAGTCCTATCCCTCACTCACACTACCATCAGCACTTTCATCTGCCACGTACTCAACAAATGAAATATACAATCTGTCCCAACAACATTCAGTATTTCTCCAATGACCCGCAATATCAACAAACGTGCCATCACAAGAAAAACATTGGGGTCCTTTAGTTAACTCATAACGCCTGGCCCATGCCAACACCTGCGCCACCTGTACCTCAAAAGCCAACTCATCCCATCCATCATACACCCGAGCCCTGTGTAAGTCCATACATCGGTCCGAACATGGGTGGGAGTCATTAAAATGTGTACGAAAGGCCTTAATCATTGACTGCTTGTTTAATCGCACCCCTCGTTTTACAATCAAAGTATCGCACCCAGGGCATGCAGTCGTGGCGGGAGGTAGGAAGAACCACTTTTGCCACCGATTCGTGCACTGGGGAGCCGACAATATCCGTGTTCATGTGCCGTCGTACATCTGACACACTTCCATCCACTACTCTTGACGGTCAGCGGCGCATTCCGCTCTACCAGCAAAGTCCCATCGAACGGGTTCCCAGCCATCACCCGCTCCCCATCAACCTCCACCACATTCCTTGGAATGCCCAGACCCAACCACCGGTGCTCCCTCCACCATCGCCGCCAACCCTCCACCTTGCTATCTTTAAACAACGTATTCGCGGGGGGCCGATCGCGGATATATCGAATGGTCGTAATCCAGTAGTCCCGGTTGTCCTTCCCTGGGCACTTGTTATGTCCTACCAGGCCGGTACCACTGAGGATCCTAATCAAAACGTAGGCGTCCAATCTGGTGAGACCCCTGACGTGTTGTGGCGCAGCAGGCTCGCGCTCGTAGTATTGGTGTCCCTGTCCCGAATGCCAGGCCGCCCACTCCTCACATCATAACTCACGCGCCAGTGCCGCATGCCCGATGCCAAAACTGACCCCCTCCCAGTGCATGGGTCGCAGATCCAGGTGCACGCTTTTCTTGACCAGAAGGTCGACAACCTCGTTCCCAACCACCCCAGTATGCCCGGGTACCCACTCGCACGTGATTTCCC